TGATCAATGCACAGAGCCCATTTCATAACCATGTATCGTGTGCTGACAGCACAAGTCCAGAACTAATCTTTATTCCTTTCACTCTCCTACAAACATCAATAAAGCATCCAAGCAGCAGCAGAGGCATCCTCATACTCATTGAATTTTATTGTGCGACTCCTGCGAGTCCTGCGGTCGTCTCATACCTGTCGTCTTCTTCTCTCCTCCCACAGTTCCCCAAGAACAACAACAACAACAATAGGATGCCATCTGTCAACATCATTGAGGTGTGACTGCCAGGACGTCTTCTCTTTACCTAAAAGACTTTGTGTTCTCACAAACAAGCGGGCCCCTTTTAAGCCCATCTGCTTGTCAGGATGACGCTGGGACTCTGGGCCCCTCGGCAGCGCCTTCTCTCCTTCGGGCCTGCCGCCGGAGCGAGGCCGCAGGACTCTGGGCGTCGAGCATGCTCCCTCCGCCTGCGCCGGTGTGAAGAGGCAGCGGCTGCTCAGTGACTACTGCACTGTGGGGCGGCAGCGATTAGAGCCGAATGGCTCTGGTGTTGGAGAGACTGCAGATAAACAGGCCCCAGGGACCAAAGCTGATAAACAGAGCCAGAGACCTTTTCATTCTCTCTGTCACCTTCTTCTCAGCGTCTTGCAGTGTTATCAGTGACCGCAAAACCTGGGCATTTCCCTTTTCTGGGTTGAAATCGTCTCTTCTGCTTTAATCTTTTATATCCACGCATAACTTCATCATTACGTGTTGCATTCTGTACTCTTAAGTGGGCTGTTAGGGTGTAGTTGTTTAAATTTTTACAAGGTGCCACCAGTACAGTTTTGTTGTTCTGGTATTTTTGTTTCATTGATCCTCTCTCGGGCAGAAGCTCTTTGCCATCTTGTGGATTCACTTGTTTTTTTCGCCCCCTCAGGGAATCCAGACTCTACCACCTGGCTAATTTATGAGATGTTTCTAAAATGTGTTGTGACAACGCCAGAGCAGCTTTTGAGAGGGCTGCTACCAAAGCTGAATCACCAGGACTCGATCAACAAGATAAAAACACTTAAAAGCAACCTCTGATCTGAACAAATATTCACAGTAGAGTTCATGAGAAGCCAGGTTTCATCCTACTTCTTGTCCCTCATGCTTTTATTCTGAAATGTTACATTCCATGTCCAGAATGAGCCCTTTAGTATTCCCTCGTGTCTTTCTCTCTGAGGGGGATGAATCTCAAAGCATTCTGGAGAGGAGCAGAACTGCCATAATGGAGTGCATTCATCTAATTAACAAACTCTAAAAGGGGCTGGACTCTCGGAAGAAGTGGTCTTTCCTCTTCAGAGACACGCAGGAGATCTCTTATATCAGCAATAACAGCCCTCAGAGGAAGTGCAGAATCGAGGACTCGAACGCCGCAGCCTCTTTGAATAAAATCCCGACCTCTCAGCATGTTGTAATGTTCAGGCAGACGAATTAACTGCACGTCCAGTTTGGAGGGAATTAACTCCGAGCCCCAAACGTCCTTAAGCGCTGTTGTAAAAACTTTGGTTTCCAGTGGTTAGCATGGGATTT